AATCGAGAGTAGTAACTGAGAAGGCGTGTTCATTCTGCAACCAAAACCCACGGCACTGTACATCTTTTTCTTTGTTACATCTAATTTCTGGACCTCCGTTATTACACTACAAACACTGTTATTTGGAAGTGTTTTGACCTCAAATTGCGGCAAAGGAATCCAGGTGGCCTAGTTTGTATAACATCAGTGCTATGTGCCTGTCCAAGGAAAAAAACAAAGTTAATGTATCTACAATGTGTGTGTGTGTGTGTGTGTAGCGCGTACAACCTAAATTGTAGTTATTTCCAAACATTCAGGGTCTATTTTTGACTGTCTGAGAATAACTGAGCAATCATCACCGCGAAACGCATATTTATGTGCAATTTCCATTCAGATAGATTTGTTTACAAAATAACTTTATCATGCTTTCAATCTGAGCTCCGAAAATTAGTTCAAATTTATATTGCGTTCTCTATTTCCAACAGTTGTCGTTCTCGTTCCCCAAAACATATATGGGGGAACCAGGGGCCCCTTTTGATTCGAAACAAAAAAAATAATAAATTCCGCTGGTCGGTCTGACCAGTGCAATAATGGACCATTTTCCCTACTATTGATGAACCCAAAGAAACGGATCGATGCGTTGATCTAAACGGCAGCCACCGTTAGAAGTCACACAAGTAGTGGCCTAGTAAGTGCATCAAATTGTACTATAACGTGATTCGTGAAGTGTATCACTCGAACATTGTAATGGTCTCTTTCAAACACTGTTGTTGATTTGATCTGATATTTACAACCCTACGTACCTTCTTCGTTAGTGCCAGGCATGCCACGTAGTGAATCACATTGTAACTGGTTTTCAGCTTTTTCGGTCGACCGGACCTGGATTCTCGTACTCTTTTCCCCTGGGAGCCTTTAGCATACTGGTGAGTGACAGAGCGCACTGACCAATTGGAGATCTAACGTCATACCCAACACCCGCTTGTCGTTTACTCGTTTGCTCAGTGAAATTGGTGTGACAGATCCGAATGGTAAGCTTGGCTATGCCACCATCAATGCAACTTATACTACGACCTTAAACAAGGCCATGACTATGCTCACCACTTTGTGGAAAACGCCCATGAAACTGTAAAGAAATATCTGAGTTCTCTGCCCTACATTTACGGGAAAATGGCGTAAATTACAACAATTTATTTATATTAAAATTTTGAATCTTTGTTTTTATCAATTTTAAAATCTAAAGGGAATAATAAACACCTTGTTAAGATCTAAAATAACACTAGCGTAACCGTAATGTTAAAAATCCCCTGAAATTGACAAGCAGTAATCTGGTCCCCTTTAGATTTGATTCTCAATTCCCGAGAACAATATTTCATAACACCGGTTATGTCAAACAGCTTCTTCACTGATCACCTGTCAAACAAGGCGATAGATGACTTTCTGTGATCTATTGATAAATTCGTGTTAATTAATACCACCCACGACGATCGGTTCAGTTGTTAAAACAATGGTTCACACTTGCCATCACCAGGTTTTTTAACAAGTCGCTTCATAGCTTTCGAATTGGATAATTAATCTTGTCCGACCTTTCCGGAGTAGCCATCCTTGCATGCTGCATACTTTATTGTCGGGAGTTTTTGAGGTTCGTCTTCTGTTGTTACGTGGGTACAGAAATTATGCAGCAAATATGGAGATCCACAGTAACACTCTGAACTGATAGTAATATATGCTCGTTACCACTAATCCTCGATCGCACCTGTTGCTGTCAGACACAATCAAAAAGGGAGAAAACGACGATCGCGCACAAACATATATTGTAGCACAGGGAATGGCACGAAGCAAATTACAAGCTGTATGTGGCAAGGGTGGGGCACACAATGTTCATATGGATTATGGGTTCACGTGTGTCCGGTGACACTCTTCTGTTCGTTCGTTATTAGTGTTCAATCATTGTGTGACAGAGAGCGATAGGATAGGTAGGAACAGTTGTTATTGGTACTGTTGTATATCAATTTAAGTTAGATTTGAGGAACTATAATTTTCATTTGCGAGACCGTCATTTGGAATTGAGATGCCATCTTTTAGAATTGAGAAAGAAATGGTGTGGTTTGGATCCGCTTCCGTTCAGCGCACCTCATTGGTCAATTGTTCATGCATTTTTTTCTACCCCCGGATTGATCACCTGTCTTCCCACGCTCTTTCTGTGCTGAAATGAGGCCGACCTCAGTCGTGCATCTTGTCGAGCTCTGTGACGGACGTCGA